GCGTAATATTAGTGTAGCACAGACAAAACCACGACAACATTGAATCCGTCTGCTTTTTACGCAGGTATCTTACGTTTTGAAGACAGAATGTCGGAAAGCGTCACGATGAGCCACGTCACGAACGTCCCCCGTATGACGGACGGTCCCCGCGGCAGCGCGACGGACGTCCCGCGCTACGTGTGCGACGTGTGCGGCGAGGAGTGCACGAGCGAAGCGGACGCGCTCTCGCACGTGCAGGCCGCCCACATCGAGTCCTCCCTCAGCTGCCCGTTCTGCGAGCTGGCAGAGGTCGCGCTCGAAGAGCTGAGCCTCCACATCGCCCACTGCCACCCAGAGGGCGCCGCCGTCTTGAGCGCGGGCGACGCAGCGCTGCGGTGTCCTCTCTGTGGAGTGAGCGACGCGTCACCGACGCGGCTACAGCTGCACGTCAATAGAGCGCACCTGGACGCCACGAGTCCGGGCAGAGCTTGCGTCTACACTGCCCCACCAGCGGCCGCAAGAGAGGGCGCCGCCGAGGCGTCCGTGAAAGAGGGCGCCGCCGGTGCGTCGGCGAGAGAGGGCGCCGCCGGTGCGTCGGCGAGAGAGCGCGCCGCCAGGGCGTCCGCAAGAGAGGGCGTCGCCAAGGCGTCCGCGAGAGAGGGCGTCGCCGAGGCGTCCGCGAGAGAGGGCGCCGCTGAGGCCGATCGTCATCGGGCGGTGGCAGTAGCGGTGGCGTGCCCGTTCTGCGGGTTGGAGTGCGAGAGCGCGGCGCAGGCGCAGGACCACATCCACGCGCGTCACGCCGACGCCAGCGAGGATTCGCACGCCCTGCTGACGCCTCCAATCGCTTTCCCTCCCGATGCCGGCGGAGACCCCGACGGTGGCTCCCCCACGCTCGCTCGAGCGTCGTGCGATGACCGGGATTCTCGGACGTCGATCGCTGCTCGTCTCTGGCGCAAACATGGGTTCGCTCGCGCGACGGAAGGCGCCGACACTGCAAGCGGAGCTTCGAAGACCGCGCGCGTGTCCGCCGTCGCTTCCGCGTGCAACCAGCGGACGGGGCGTGACCGCCAGGAGGTGGCGAGACTCGTGGACGACAGCGGCGGCGGCGGCGAGGGGGACTTGCGTGGCAGCACGATCGCCGCGCCGCTCGTTAGCGCCGAGGATGAGCGATGCTGCACGCGGGGTCTCGTCGAGCGACTGCGCGCGGGCATCCCCGCGTTGCTCCTCTGCTCGACCGCCGTGCACTTTGCGTCAACGGCGGCCGACCGCGGCTGGGCGTGCGGCTACAGGAATGCTCAGATGTTGCTGTCGTCGGTTGCCCGTTCTGCGAGCTGGCAGAGGTTGCGCTCGAAGAGCTGAGCCTCCACATCGCCCACTGCCACCCAGAGGGCGCCGCCGTCTCGAGCGCGGGCGACGCAGCGCTGCGGTGTCCTCTCTGTGGAGTGAGCGACGCGTCACCGACGCGGCTACAGCTGCACGTCAATAGAGCGCACCTGGACGCCACGAGTCCGGGCACATCTCGCGTCTACACTGCCCCACCAGCGGCCGCAAGAGAGGGCGCCGCCGAGGCGTCCGTGAAAGAGGGCGCCGCCGGTGCGTCAGAGAGAGAGGGCGCCGTCGTTGCGTCGGCGAGAGAGGGTGCCGCCGGTGCGTCGGCGAGAGAGCGCGCCGCCAGGGCGTCCACAAGAGAGGGCGTCGCCAAGGCGTCCTCGAGAGAGGGCGTCGCCGAGGCGTCCGCGAGAGAGGGCGCCGCTGAGGCCGATCGTCATCGGGCGGTGGCAGTAGCGGTGGCGTGCCCGTTCTGCGGGTTGGAGTGCGAGAACGCGGCGCAGGCGCAGGACCACATCCACGCGCGTCACGCCGACGCCAGCGAGGATTCGCACGCCCTGCTGACGCCTCCAATCGCTTTCCCTCCCGATGCCGGTGGAGACACCGACGGTGGCTCCCCCACGCTCACCCGTGCGTCGTACGATGACCGGGATTCTCGGATGTCGATCGCTGCTCGTCTCCGGCGCAAATATGGGTTCGCTCGCGCGACGGAAGGCGCCGACACTGCAAGCGGAGCTTCTAAGACCGCGCGCGTGTCTGCCGTCGCTTCCGCGTGCGACCAGCGGACGGGGCGCGACCGCCAGGAGGTGGCGAGACTCGTGGATGACAGCGGCTGCGGTGGCGGGGGAGACTTTCGTGGGAGCACGATCGCCGCGCCGCTCGTTAGCGCCGAGGACGAGCGATGCTGCACGCGGGGTCTCGTCGAGCGACTGCACGCGCGCATCCCCGCGCTGCTCCTCTGCTCGACCGCCACGCACTTTGCGTCAACGGCGGCCGACCGCGGCTGCGCGTGCAGCTACAGGAATGCTCAGATGTTGCTGTCGTCGGTCGCGCGCTGGCCCGGCGTCGCGGCGTGCGTGTTCCCCGCCGCCGCCCGCGTGCCGACCGTAGCCGAGCTCCAGCGCGAGATCGAGGCCGGNTTCGCTGGCCTGTCTACTCGCCCCTGCCTCCGGTGACATTCCTCCCCTTCCTACCGTGCCGCGTTGATCCGAGTCTTTCTGCTCGTGATCGTGCTGCGACGCCCGTGATTCTTCGTCGCCACTGTATTCCGGCGTTGTTCCTCTCTCCCGCCGTTGTATGTTGATCAGCGGCGTTTCATCGTCCGACGACCACTCTCCGTCGCCGTCGCTTGGTTGATAGGTATGCTTTGCCCGCCTATCGAATTCTCGTCTCGTGTCTCTTTCTTCTTC